CTTTAGTCCCATGATGACAGCTGCATGAAGGAGGAGGCAAGAGCTAAGGACTGGCTGCTTCGATCATAATAATCTCTAGTAGCCAACAAGAGAGCAAGTTCTTAAACAAGGGCCCAGAGAAGTGAGCTTAAAAAACGGACCAGAGCAATGTTTCTTGAAAGCTGTGACTACTCTCTACAGTTTCCTGCTGTCAGTCAGGCCACGAGCTCAAGAAAGAAACGTATTTTTTCACTCCCAGGGCGCACATGGTTAAGAACGTTCTCGTGGCAGATTCCTGGGAAGTCAGGAATCTCATTTTAGGAATAAATGAACATACACCATTTCAGACAGATGAATTTCTGACTTTTATTCTTCAAGTTACAATGAATTAGTTCTTATAATTCTGTATCTAACAGAGATGAAGAATATTTGCTCATAATCCTCTAAGAAAACTTCTTCAGTTTTCAGAACCTGAATTCAGAATAATGAGGGGGAGGGTATAGCTCAGTTGCAGAGCACGTGCTTAGCAGGCAGGAGGCCCTGGGTACAATCCCTAGGACCTCCATTAAAAATAAATAAAATAAATAAATAAATCTAATGACCTCCCCCCAAACAAACAAACAAAACAGAATAATGAATATTATTCTCTATTCTCCTTCAACTATTTCCTCTCATGATAAATACCTTTGTTCTCTTAATCTCCCACCATAAGCTCCAACTTGCCAATATTTTGCCTAATTTTCAGGATCTCTGGTAAACTCTCCATTCCGTTTAAATTGTAAAAAAGCAAAGGCAGATAAAGTTCTCCAACAAAGATATGATGTAAGTCAGAGTTAAGAGGATTAAGTCACAGATTTTACATGCTACGTTTCTATTTATACACCTTTGCCATGCTTGCTTATAAGCTATTGTTCTGTATTTCTGCCTTGGGTATCCACTTTGAACTCTAGATCATTTCCTTCCAAAATACAGACTATTAGATCTTTCATATTTTATATTAGTTTATTTTTCTTCCAGGTCGATTGCTCTTCGTGTGCCCATATGTAACTTATTTTGTTTCTATTTGTCCATTTATCAGGGTAATTTAAAATTGTCTTTACTTCACTTTATAATTTCAGCCCTTTCACTTAAGAAATAATTGAGTAACACTAGATTGCACAATGATGCCTGTATAAAACCATTAATTACCATAGATTCCACTCCAAACTGGTACTGATCCGACTCTTTGGCCTACTGTAAACCCTCCTAATAAATTCCAAGCCTGGGGACAATGCCCTTGCAGAAGTGACATGTCAACTTTCAGTCGCTTCCTGAAGGATGGGGAAGCGGGAGACAGAGTTTCCATTACAGCTTCTTTCATGACTCTAAGAGTGTCCGAAAAGGGTGTAATCTCCACATGCCATTATCATTCTTTCACCTAAAGGTTGCCCTTAACCAGAGTTGACAGCAAACTGAAAGTGAACATTAGAAGTGTAAAATTACAAGAGAACAGGAGGAGGATGGGAAAACTATTAGCAAAGGAAGGGATCCTTTGGAAAGGCAGAAGAAAAGCAATGACCCTCTTCACCCATCTGACTGTTTGGTCCAGGACCATCAATAGCCATGTTACCATACCGTGGCTTGCTTGATTCAACCACCATACTAGGAGTTCAAGGTCATATGCTTCACCCGTATGTAGGTCAACAGGCACCAGTTTCACAGTCAAAAACTCACCTTTTTGCCCAACCTCTCACAAATAGCACTGCTCATCCTGAAGACATTCATGACAGTGCTTATGAATCAACCAATGCAAATTCATTACCATTACTGGAAAAATAACCAGGGGAAACTGACCTGTGAGTCAGCCCATAGTATGAATTCCATTTAGGAAGGACTCCCTGATGGTCTTGGACCAGACAGATGTAAGAAACCAGGCTCTGTTACTTACTAGTCCTTTGTGTGACTTTGGACAAGTTAATATTTCAGAGCCTTAAAGACAAAACACACTGAGGGTCTCAAGTAGAGCTTGACATAAAAAGGACACTCAAGTGATGCCACCCCACCCACTTCTGGAGACAAAACCTGAGACTTAAGAGCACTGGGATGGAGTCAGGCCCACTGGTGTTCCAATCCCTGTAGCATCCTAGCTGCGAAACACTGGGCAAGTGACAGTCTCGTCTTTCTTATAAAGGTCGGATAATTAAAGCTTTTACATAGTGCCCGGCACATAATGAATGTCAACAAATAAGTGACAACGATAGTGTAATCACTACTACCTGCTGATCAATATTTCTCCAAGTATGGTCAGGGAACTGCGGATATCAGAATGCCCAGGATGTCTGTACAAAAAAAAAAAAAAAAAAAAATCCCACGTCCCACCCCAATCTATTCAAAAAAAAAAAAAAGCTCGCTGAGAATGGTACCAGGAAATATTCATTTCCAAATCAAAGTTTCTTGAGATGTATATGAAACCTTAAGAACCACTGACTCAGCTAGTCTTATGCCATGATTCAGTAAATTAAGACTTGTCTTCTTCTAGTACTTACTCTGTACTATGCCAGGAAATTTACCCAGTATCTGGTGGGGATTTATTGTTTGGGGGTGGTGGACTTTTTTGGACCTAGGCCTTAAACTGACAGGCTCACTCCTGTTGCTGTTTTTTCCCAATGACATTATTTTGACTTTTTTCCCCCTCTAATCAAGGGTCAGCAAACTATGGCCTTGGTCTGTGGCCAGTTTTGTACAACCCTAGCCTCCAGAGGGGATGTATGTTTCAAAGGCTGTTCTTAAATATTGTTTAAAAAAGAAAAGAATATGCGATGGAGATCATATGTTGCTCACAAAGCCTAAAATATTTACTTTCTGGCACTTGACAAAAAAAGTGTGCCAAACCCTTGGTAGCCTATAATTGTTTTTAAACTGGGGGGGAGGGGTCCTCAGCATAATTAACTACAATTAACTTAAAAGAAAAAACTAAGACAGAACTGATTAGAACTGAAAATATTCTAATAGATGTTTTCTACTGCATGTAGAAAATGAAACAGTATTGCCAAAGTTTCTGTTATATATATATATATGCATGTGTCTGCACTGGATAATGATCAAATTGCATTTGGTTGCAGTCAAAAAACTCTATGAGGGTAGGTAGGGCTGGGGAATAAATAGAGAAACTGGTTAACAAGTATCTACTAAAACTCATACTGAGTAATTTTTACAACAAAGGTGCTTCGGAGAATATAAAACCAAATAAAATGATCTCTGCCGTTTGGAAGTTAATGATTTATTTCTTCACTGCAAAAGGGAAATCATATCTGTTCTGTGTACAATACACATGTTCAAAGGAAAAAAACCAAATCATCAATGCAGAGTACTTCAAAAGCATTATACAGACAAAATATTTTCGTTATACTAACAATATACTGTATTGAATGAATATAGGTTCTTTACCAAGTCCATTAGTTCTTAGTTTCCCCCAAGCTGGGAAACTAGTCTTATTCCTTTGTGTGTGTTCCTATGTATGTTAATGTACTTGTGTGTGCATGTGTGTCTCGGAGCATAAAAGAAGTATTAGATGTCTCTGACCTTTCTATGTCATTCATTATTGGCTTCTCCTGCCCATCTGTTTAAAATATGTAGTCTTTTATCTTTTTCTCATTTGTCGTAAGAAAAGCACTTAATTAAATTCTTGTCCAAAACGAACGATTAAGTCCAGGATCACCCTACCCACAGAAACACTATAAAGTCCAAAATTAAAAATTTTTAAGTAACAATCTTCCCTTTTATCTCCAGAGAGCACACATTTTCAGGGCTTTTTATAATTGTTTTTGACAAGCGAAAAAGACATTAATTTTATAATACATTTCAACAATTTTGCAAAGAAAAGAAACATCGTCCTAGGAACTTATACAAGGAAATGACACTTTAGAATGTTTTCATTATCTGAGATGCACCGCAGACACACAAACCACAAGTAGTACAAATAAATAAAAGCTGGTGCAACGCTGAATGCATGTTTGCTTTACACCACAAAGAGAAAGCACTTGCACGTTTGCACACTCAGATATTTTAGCTTGGGATGCCATAAAGATGGGATTTAGGCATGTTGTGTAAATACAGGAGGCTTTAAATGTGTGTGTTTGTGTGTGTCAGGGAAAGAGGGTTGTAAACAGAAGGGGTGGGACCTGCCAGGAGCAGCTATTGGAGAAAATCCCTTTTTCTTTCCCATTCATTCTTTCTAGCTTCAGTGTCTGGCACAATCCTTACAATTACTCACTGGCTTTTCATTCTAAAGACAACCAACAAGCTTTCAGAACTTCCTACAGTGTTTTTCACACACTTTTTTTTAAGGCACCAAATCATTCAATATTTATTTTAAATTAAAAGCAAACCATTAGCCCGGTTGCCTCATTCCAAAGACCCCATGGGTTGCAGGCGAAACAGGATCCTTTGTTGTGGGTCCAAAAATAATACAACGAGGTATTGGTAAATTGGAAAATAATAGATTACTCTGTGTCCAAGAACGCCAAAGCCATCACCATCAATCTTGCTCTGCCCCATGAGTCCAATTTCACACTCCTTTCAGTGAATTTGCCGTCCTAACAACAGTAAGGCCAATCCGATTGAACACCCCTCGTTTTTTCGCTTTGGACACTCCATTAATAAACAGAAGGGCTGAAAGAGGATGCCAAGTGGGCCAGCTTCCTCTCTGTACAATGATACCCGTCAAGGGAAATTTCTCCAACCCCAGTGAAAGTTGCTTCACAGATGCCCACCCCAAACCGGCTGGCCTCTGCCTCCGAGCTCAGGGCGAGAGGGGCGGGTGGGCAGAGAACCATCATCTTTCAGCTCCCCACCTCCACAGGAGGGAACGAGGGGGAGGGCACGACGAGAGCGCGGAGTAGGAAGGTGGGCGAGTGGGAGACAGAAATGGATGCTGAGGGGGTGGGCGAGGTGGGAAGGTGGGGAACGTGGAGAGAGGCGGGTGAGCAGAGAAGCGGGGTGAAAGAGTAGCGGCGAAGGCGCGCGGGGGGTCGGGTCCTCACCGTTGAACGCCCCGGGGTCCGCGGCCTCCTCTTCCTCCTCCTCCCCGTTCTCCGATTCGGCGTGCACGGGCTCCTCGGCGAAGTTAACCCCCTTGCTGGGGGTGCCGCCCCCGCCGGCGGCGCCCGCTTCCCCCCAGGTCCTGCCCTCATGGCCGAAGCGCGCGGCGCCTCTGCG